GATTGCCTGGCAAAACACCTTCACAGATTGGGAGTATACACTCGACCCATATGCCTCCTATGTAATCTACGGGAGGAAATGGAGAAGACCCACTTGTTTCGGTGTCCAGCCCTAAAGTCAACTACGGAAACCCAGATACTGGGAAGCAAGAAGACAGCTAATGAACTGCTATTAATTAATGGCTATATATGTACCTCCACACCCATGTGGGAAGCTGAAGTCAACGTTTAAGAGCTAATGATAAATATCATAAAGCCTGCCATTTGAAAAAATTTGAGATTTGATATGCCCAAATTTCAACGTAGCCATTAAGTTAATTCTCATCATTAAAGCACGATGAACTTTATTGAAAATAACTATAAATTTAAAATGTGGAATATTTTACATGGCCAATTATTTAAAGTTAAAATTCATTATTTGAACAACGCTTGATTTATTTTGATTGGGTATAAACAATAGCAAATTATTTAAAAGTGATCATATGGTGACTTACTCGCGCTTATGAAATTATTTTGCAGGTATATTTTGTGCAAATAATAACAAAATGTATTTCATTTAGCTTGAGGATCTTTTTTATATCAGTGATTTTCTTTCTTGCATTGGGGGAGAAAGAGATTCTAAATGGAAAATTGAAAAACCCTTCTTCGATTAATCGCTTACGGCATAATTTCATCAAAAGGTTATTCAAATTGTTAATTCGCAACTTTACGTAGGTGGAACTATGGCCTCCAATATTTGCACCTTTCTCATGAAGACCAATGGCCTGATATTTTGAAGCTATCTCATGAATCTGCTTTGGTTAGTTATTATTTGTTAAATTCCACATCTTGCCCTTTTAATAGCTTTCATGTTGCATTTAATTAAATTTTATCCCTCTTTGGTTTCGCGAAATTCGTTTAATGTAATAAACACGAGTCCTGCTAAAATATTATATGTTACAATTTTTTATGCTCTATCAAGTTTATTCTAGCCCACCTTCGTTGAATCTATTCTAACCTCATCTATTTTCGGATCTGTTTGATAATTTGTTTTATTTTTGTTGCTTTAGCGACTCTCGCCAACTGTGGGATCGGATAGCAATTCTGAACAATTTTCAACAACTTCCCAATCTCTGCCTTCTCTGAAGGAAGACGCTATGTTGCCCCCTATGGATGAGTCCGTGGTCAATGAACTCTCTCAGCCAAACATGCCGACTTTCCAGGAGTTCCATGCAAAAGTTCTTGTAGAAAATCAGAACAAACGACGCTTAGGTGAGTTGATAGAACCTTTTTTTCGATATATTGGGCACATTGGTCGTTTGGTTTTTTTCTCGTTATACTTATGTGTACACCCTTTTAGTATCTTATTTTAGTAGTTCCAATGTGATTGCTGCCCTATTTGATTTACGTTTCAAACTTTGAGTAACTTGTCTTAACAGATGAAACTGCCGGTACAATTTCCGTTCAACCAGTCAAAAGTGCGGCAACTGACTCAAACCTCTTGAATCAGCCCAACCAATCAGCTGAGGATTCTAGCCACTCTTCTATTCCTGTATCGTCGACTCTTCCTACTCTCGACGCTTCCACGAACTCTATTCCCGCTTCTGAAAACGGGGGGAGTGCAAAAGGTTCCGGGGGGTCTTTTTCTGATGTCATCCTTCCCTCCAGCATATCGGAGAATGGAAACGTTAACGGAGTGAATGGAAAACGAAATGGAGGTGATGGAGCAGGTCAGGAGTTGAGGGTCATGCGAAATATTGCAGCCTCAGAATGTGGAGCTAAGCTTTTACAGGCTAGCCCTTCTGCTAAACATTCTCATGCTATTCTTGTGGATAATAACGACGAGTATATGAATCAGCCTTGCGTCTCCGAGAAGTGGTGGGTTGTTTCTTTAAATGCGTTTTTTATTATTGTTGTCGAATTTACTTCTTCTGGTTAAATATTTGAATACTCGAGTACGCGATGCTTATTGAAATAGAGCATCTAATATTAAGAATAGGAATGAATGTTTCGAAAGCAATATATTGAATAAATAACCGCATAACACTGCCACATAACGAACTTTTAAGTTTGAAAGGTTGTCTCACGTGGAATTCGGTTCATGGGTTTGTTCAGTGTATTTGAATGTGGCCAACACAAACTCCGAACACGGAATAAACAGCCACTTAATTCTCTAGGTTAAGTTGTCGGTACTTTAAATTGCGTTATCCTAAAGACACATGTAGGAAGGTCCTTACCAACACTCATCTTGGGAGTAAATTGGTGTCCTTGAGCTTCTCTGATGTGAAACTCGTTTTTGTCCCTTCCTTATTAACGTTTTTCCATTCCACTTAATGGTGGGTTTGCTCCGTTACATTCAAGTCCTCAACAATGGCAGATCTGGATGTGTTACTTTTAGAATTCACGGCAGGTTTGTCTATCAAATTTCACCTATAGCGGGCACTCCTTTGGAGTTTAGCGAATTCAGGATACTATGCAATTCTAGATGTCTACTTTTCACATAAAAGATCTAGCTTTATAATTTGGATAAATTTGTAAAACTTGGTGAAAGGTAGATATCCCACTTCTAAAGATCGTTGTTGGTTTTGGCGTCGATGGCAAGAGAGTAACGAAATTTTTCATTTCTACTACAGATGAAGGCCGGCGGGGGGGGGAGGGATTGGAGAAAAATATTCTTTTAATAAGTGCACGAGATCCTCCACTTAAATAGCCTTGTTGTATTGTTGTATATTTATTTAAAAAGGGTAGATTTCCTAGTTTCTTTTCTCTCTCTCTCTCTTAAGATGGAAGGTTAAAGTCTTTAGCCCTTGGGAAGTAATTAGAGTTGGGCGTCTAATTACCTTTTTGGGCAAAAGTGATGTGTTAGCGCGTTGCTTGTCCATCATTCAAGCGATCCAAATTCAACCTTATTGTGACGAAAATATTCCGCTTCAACATTGTATTTTTTAAATATATAATGTTTATTAATTGGGGTGTGCGATAGACTTACCTCCACGTGGTGCACCCTGGGCAACGTATACTCATACGGCAAAAAGGTCTATTATCCGGCAATTGACTTCTGACTTCAACCTACCATGGCCCCACTGTATTTCATGCTCGACCCCTTCCACAGTTCTCAGCTTACATTTTCTCCGCCGTTGTGTCAGTCTGTCTGTCTCTTCTATATCTGTAAATCATTACTCTTTCCCCCTCCTCTCAGTGAAGC